TAAGTGTTCAAACTACTAGCCGGGAGGTCGCGGGTTCGAGACTCTTTGGAGTTTCGTGAGGTGCGCACTGATCAGGATTCCCAATAGGGATGAAGCAGCTGTACAGTGCTTCCCGGCTTTTCAGCATAGATTGGCTTCACTTACAGGACGAAATCTGTACACGAAAAATCCCAAATCTCCTCAGACTAAGAACTACTCCTATGTGTTAATCAGCAAGCGCGATCTGCCAACATTTGTAGTGGATGGTATAAACTTGATGCTAGTGAACTTTGTGTATTTTTGCATCGTTAGCGGCAAAAAACCACCCTTGATTCTTGGTGTAGTTGGGTTTAATGGAGTATCAATGCATGAACCTTCGGTTGCAGAACAGGGCGAAATTGTTCTCAGTATTAACTCGAAGGTTTGTTGATGGACATCTTGTGTGGTGTAGTTTTAATGGAGTAGCAATGCATGAACCTGCGGTTGCAGAACAGGGCGAAATTGTTCTCAGTATTAACTCGAAGGTTTGTTGATGGACATCTTGTGGATTTAAACCTGTCAGCACGACAGTCCCATATGTCAAGCGGAATGCCTGGTGACATGGAGATCACCTTGTTCAAGATGAATAATGCTGGAACACAAGAACCCAATCTAGAAGCGCAATAACAAGATGTAGAGAGAATCACCCAAAAACTGGGCACCATAGATGGATGGATGGCGTAGAAGGACGCAACGTGTAGAGAATATAACGGATCAGAAATACTTCACCGCAAATACTTTCAACAAAAATATTGCTGTGCTTTTTTTAGGTTTCAAGACATCCACAGCAGTCAAATGCTTTCGAAGAATACACCAGCTTACGTCATGCTGAAGACACTGTGGTAAGTCTGTTTACGGTGAACTATGACTCTTAGTGAAGGTGTGCTTACAGCACGAGTTCTTTCATCCTCATAAGTTTGATTGGGTTGGTGATGAGAATCGCATAAGCGAACTTTTGGTTGACAGTTTCAGACTCGTTTCCACGAGGAAAATGAACCTATCGATAGGTGTATAGGGGTTTTATGGATATCTAGTTTTTAATCAGCTTTGTCGATTATCAGGTGAATCGATTGCCAATCCAACAAAAGTTTCTGGCCATTCATCACTCGTCAGATAGGCGCCTGGATAAACCAACAGTTTGAATAAAACTGCTCATAGGTTTTCTGAAATTTCTACCACATTCCACTACCAGTTTCGGTTTTCTTGGTGCTCATCGGGTGAGTGCAATCCCCGGGTTCATGTCAATCTTATGTCTTGACTGAACCTAAATTGTACGAAATTCGCAAATTACACTCATCATCGTCATCATCATCATCATCATCGACAGCATGACACTAGTGTTCAGTGCCGTAAAAGTGCTGGGCCTACAAAGAGGCAGTTATTAATGAAGTGGGGAGAGAAAGATGGCGTCAGAAATAGCCTCTTTTCGCTTCCCCGCCCTGCTGTATGCAGCAAGTAAGGCGACCCGGTTGACGGCACCACACGACGGCCAATCTGGTATGAGAGTATTGTTAGTTGTGAATGTCATGGTTATACGAGGGCTGGGATACTTCCAGGGTGCCCACACGTGGAGGACGATTAGGGTCCTCAACCAAAGCGCTTGACTCAAAAATCTTACCACAACGCAGCGGTGTTTGGCGAGAAATGCAAATGCACTACCATTTCTACGGAAAAAGTCGTCTTATGTTCCAACCCCCAACCTGGAGGGCCAAGAGACTGTGTTTGTCAGACCTCTAACCTGGTATGAGTATCGCGGGGACATCCCCAGTAGAGCTTATTGGGTCGCTCAGGTGCCCAAACCGTCACACCACGGTAAGGTCCAGTCCCTTCGTGACAGGGAACTTCACTCGTTTGTAAACTAATTTGGTTTTGAATAAAGACATGCCTGGTCCCCGGCAGAATCTCTCGTTCGTGATGTCTTTCAACTGTGTTTGCCACGGTTTTTCTACAGCACATCCAGCTGAAGAACGTCACAATCGAGAGATCCAGCTGGGATTCAGTTAAGTCTTCCGTTTAAGCTAATTTGGTGTTCAGACCAGACTACTTCTCGAAAGAAATGTTTGCATTCAGCTGAAATGTTTCTTATTTATCATCCTACTTTGAACTCCAAACCGGACCAGAGGAACTCAAGCATCATTTCGACCGGTTTGGAGTTACTATTCTTGCCGTATTTGTGAACCTGTTGTAGCCATGTACATGGTTTTCACTCCATTCCTCAGCTTCACATGCCCCCAATATCTGTCGATCCAGCCTATATTGATTTCACACCCACGGATGCTTTGATTACGAAGGCAGTCAAGTGTGTGTTTCACCATAAGGAGGTGGTCCAACTCGGTCTAGATGTCACGGATAACAAATTCGGCCTGAAACGTAGCCTCGTTGTTCAAAATCACACGTCTCAAGCTATGCATTTCAAATGGACACCTCAACGAATACTCAGGCTAGCGGACGACACTGATTCATTCAACGATATCTGTGCGTCGCCATTCCACGAAGAATTTTCAATTGAGCCATCAGAAGCTGAGTTGCCTGGCCAAGGATCTTGTCAGTTCACTATTACTTTCCAACCAGTAAGTCAACCGAGCGTATCTGATCGATGTATTAGTTGTGAGGCTTTTGGGAACAACAGAAGAGCTACCGGATTGAGAAAAGTTATGCTACTGATCTCATTCATATTATACAGAGTGTCTCATAATAGACACAAAAAATAATACCCTGTTAAAACTTCAACATTAACTCAAACATTTATTATTTTGTTTATATGTACATACACACATTATGGATGTTGAAAAAAACCGCCCCTTCCTTCTATGACAAGTTGGAGGTGGTATGAGATGTGAGACACAGCATGTTTAACTTCAAGCATCACACATGTACGCTCCTCTTCAATTCTTGCTCTTAACTCCACCAAATTCCTCGATTTATTTTGATGATATAAGCGAGCCTTGATCATTCCTCAAAACCAATAATCCAGAGGTGTGAGTTCGGGTGACCTTGCAGGCCAAAAATTTGGAAATCCACGAGCAATGACCCTCTCATCAGAAAATTGCCCTCAGAGGTAAGTTCTCACTTGGTTTGAGTAGTGGGGGTGGAGTGCCATCTTGTTGAGATGAAGGTGGCGCCTCATAATACGATGCGCGTTGGCGCGGGGAATGCCGGTCAACTGAGACACCTGAGTTATTGACGAACATGCCATGTTGCTCTGGGACTGAAGTTGCTCGACGACATTCTGTACAATGGGCGCTTTTTCATCACTCACAGACTTTCTCCCTTTGCCAGAAAAATCCAAAACAGATCCAGTGGACTCAAATTTCGCAATCAAGCGTGTAATGGTCGACACGGTGAAAGGATCTTTGATGAGACCATGTTTGGTTTTGTAACCACGAAGTGCAGCGGTGGCACTTTCACCAAGGGGATAATAGATTTTCACAATTTCAATGCGCGTAACCTGAGTTATTGACAAAGAGGCCATGGCGCTCCGGAACTAAAGTTGCCCGACGGCATTCTGTACAATGGGCGCTCTTTCATCACTCAGAGACTTTCTCCCTGTGCCAGCAAAATCCAATACAGATCCTGTGGACTCAAATTTCGTATTCAAGCATGTAATGGTCAACACGGTGAAAGGATCTTTGATGAGACCATGTTTGGTCTTGTAACCACGAAGTGCAGCGGTTGCGCTTTCACAAGGGAATAATAGAGTTTCACAGTTTCAACGCGCAGACAAATCTCCTTTATGTGGCTACTAATAAGAAAGATTTTGTTATCCTTCCTCTGATTGGCTGCGTTTGCACATCCAATAAATTTTGCGTCTATTATGAGACATCCTGTGCATTAAGTACTCCCACAAGAGAAAACATTCCTTTGCTCTGGAGATTCGGGTAGTATGGAATCTCCCGTTGTCGCTCGCCGTCCCTCCCAGGGTGACAGATCCCGGAGGATGGACGATTTGTGGTTCCACAAAATGATTTACTTGGGCATTACGTCCCTGTATAAAAATTTTATTTGATCATATGTTCAGAACTGTTATTGTCCCAATCAGTGTTGATGCACTGTATGTTCAAATTAACAGGCTTTTTGCATACAGCTGCATGAAGTAGGACGTTAGTTGAGGTACCAACCGTTCCAGCAGGCCAAGGGGTAAGATGGAACGAAGGGAGAAAAAACGCCCGACGATTAGCTGTTTGTTGTGGCCCCAATAGTTACGCTTTTTTCATTATTATTCTACTTTGTATCCATCTAACCCAAGTCCCCAAACCACGGGCGAAAAAAACTGGGGCAACCATACCGGCCCTACATCAATTTTACGATTTTTGCAGCCAACGGATGGTTCTACTTTGCAAAGTATCTGAGAAAAATGTCCACTGACGATGAACTTGTGTCCTGGGGTAGTCTCACAAGATAGGGCATTAGTAGATCTGCCACAAAGGACCAACGTGAACAGCTCGTTGGAAGAACTTTTATCTCGGCCAATTCCTTACAATGAGGACAGTGGATTAGTTACTAAGGTCATGTGAAAGTTATCCAAATTAATTCGACCCGTCTGGGTTGTATAAACACAGTACATACACAATCATCTATTTCTTTCCCATTGGCTCCTTTCGATGAGCATAACGGTTTTGGTATTTGGAAAGTCCATTACTGTATCATCATCATCATCATCATCCTCACCATCATCATCATCATCACCATCATCATCACCAAATCATCATCACCATCAA